ATAACAGCCAACGCGCCATCAAACGATTCTCGGCACGCGTAGATGTCACCGAACCAGCGCATGACAAGCTCCCAGTTTAGGTCCCTACCAATATCGTCGATCATGTCTCTCACAGTGGTAATTTTGTTGAAGGAGTCCCGGTAGTAGTCATTGTTGCCGTGCTTGACTGCGCGTGAGCTAGTCTCGTGGATCAGTGTAAAGCGTTTGATCCCTTTCGCTAGATCTGGTCGGTCAAGAATAGTAAGAAAGAGGAGATTGATCTGGAAGTAGTGTTCTTCATGGAAGTAAATCTCCTTGTAGAGAAACTCTTCCGCCACCAGACGGTAATACTTCGACATCCGCAACATCTCAAGGAGCTTTTCCTTTGGCAAGTAGCCATGAATGTACTGGTGCAGCTCCATTGGTAAATCGTTCATCCACCTCCACCTCATGTTGTACTGATTCATGAAGTGACGATTGGTGTAGAAGGGTGGGAAGACAAGAATGACCGGGCGGCGTAGGTTCGTGCTTTAAGTGAGGGAAGGCATGTTTGTGGGTCGTGTAGCAAAGGGAAAGAGCTATTTGACCTCACCATATGATCGAGTTCAGGTGATCAAGCGCGATTGCTTACTGAGAGTTTGTTCAATGGACAATCGATAACATGGTAGTCTTGGGCGGCATCGAGTATGCTCGTCGATATTGCGTGACGTCCGGTCTCTTCGATCGGAATGTGAAGGTGGCAGGGACACATTGTATCGGCTGTAGGATCTAATGCTAGACGCGCTGTTCCATATATGTTAACATCGAATAGTGGGGTGAATACCACGAGAATGAGCTCTAGGGATTGCTGTAATAGCTTTTGTCAGCTAACATGATAAAACGCAGTGTCGAATATGTTGAGCGGGGTGGAACATTTGAAAGACCTGTTGTCCTGACACTCTGCATGGCCCTTGCCATATCGAACCCGACGGTGCTTCTCATGCATGCCGCGACTCCGAATCACCGGCCTACACGCGCGTGACTTGTGATAGATCAAAAGGAGTCGTTGAGCTGCCAAGTTGTGGCGCCCCGATTCGTACACCGAAGCAATGCTTGTCTATACAAGCCGGCCAATTTTTCAGGGGCCTGGCCGATGGATATATTGATCGCAATATCGTTGTCGTTACTATAGCCGGCTCAGCAACACCAACGACACCCACCAAAAATGTCATAGACAGCTCAACCATACCTACCCCTCAACAATCCGTATAATCAGATCTTCATACCCATGCATTCTCCAGACCCCGCGCCAGCGAAAAGGATACGAGATCGTGACAAACACCTGGGCAGCGACGAGAAAACGTGCTCGTATGGGCGTCTCAGCAGGACGTATTCGTCGTTGGCGCCGCACCTCAGAAATATTGAATCGGGGCTATTTTGAGACTTAGGTGCGTTGGTTAGCGCCCGGCCATGTGGGGATGTGGCTGGTGACCCATAAACCCTGTCGTGTTTCGTGATGACGGGCTACAACGTTACAAAGCCAACAATCTCTTCACTCCTCCATTGAGCCGGCATTTATTTGCAAAGACACTCTTCACCCTATGTACAGAGCCAAATTTCTACGAACATGCGAATCTCACAGTACCTAGGCACCCTCAAGGTCATAAGACCACTTCGGGTCGTTCGGAAAGTCGGACGGTCAAGCCACATCAAGCTTGGCGCGTACGTCGAAACTCCCGCTGGCACATCACGGATCACGGCTACCGAGACCCCCGAACCAGCCTAAACCAGGGGCGGATCACAACCTTCCCCCTGCGCCACCTATAGGAATGCGCTGCAAACATTACACGACCCCTAACCCCCTGTCTGTAGCGGTCCAAAAGGCCAGAAGCAGTGTGGCTGAGTGCCCAGGTGCAGCAGCACCACCGCCAACAATGGCGTGCGTTGGTGTGATGTGTCGCGCGTTTCGTTTCGTATATCCCTCTTTTTCTTTGCTGCCTCTGCGGCCCAGCTTGCTTGCCTTAGTGCCTTGACTCCCAGTTCGAGCGCGCGGTTTTTCTGGGCTTAGACATAGTTTAGCGAAGGTAGCTTGGACAAGCTTCGCGCCTGTTTAGAGAAAAAAAGCACGACTTGTGGGCGGTGTTCGAGACTGTCCTGACTGGTGGTGCCGTGTAAGCGGAGTAGCGAGCGGCTTTACTGCACGTTTTTAGTATATGAGCTTGCGGAGCCCGCGTTTGCGCTGACCCTCTTCGTTTTTAGGTATCGTCTCTTTGCATCGTCGAGTTTTGTTGCAGCATTGTTGAGCGCTTTCACGTTTCTTTCTTCTTGTTGATTGCTGATGGCTAGGTGACACTCGTTCGCTATTCTCTTCACGTTTACTAGCCGTCGATCAACCGTGATCCTTTTACATATTCATATCCTTGTTTAATTATTCGGATACTGTCACTACATCTACGATACGAGATTCGAAGCATACCGAACGCCATGTCATACCTTCCGCCACTAGGAGCCTTGCTCCTGCCTCTTACGGCACTACTCGCCCAGTCTGCACTCGCTGCCAACCCGTATACCAGCTCCATGAACGAGGCACCCAAGGACAACAACCCAGACTGCGACTGCTATGTCGTTCAGTCCGGCAAAGATTCGCAAACGCCAGAGTACTTCCAATACTACCGCTTCTACGACTTTCGAAACCTCCCAGGCGCAATGAGCGAGTCACCACCGCTCCTCAACGATAGTCAGATCGCGGGCATGGCGAACACATGGCAGCCAGATCTGTTCAACAGCGATGCTTGGAACTACGACTGGGGCATCCAGAACTGGACCAAGCCCGCCACCGAAGACTTCCCCGTACCGATGAACAACTCCTTCGCGAACATCTTCCTCGGTGAAGAAGACTCCACATCATACCTCGCACTGCGAACGTCGCGTCTGGATGACTACCAGACGGCTGGAGAGATCGAGAACCAGCAGAAGAACCTCATGCACGTTTCGATGCGCATGTATGGTCGTGTTCAGGGTGCCAAGGGTGCGGTGGCGGGATTCTTCACCTTCTTCGACGACGATAACGAGTCCGACATCGAGATCCTGACCGACGATCCGAAAGATCAGATTCGCTATACGAACCAGCCTTCCGTAGGCGAGGACGGCAACGAAGTCGCTGCTGCGTCCGTTGGCCCCACCGACCTTCCCCGCTGGGACGAATGGCAAACCCACCGCATCGACTGGCTGCCGAAGAACAGCTACTGGTACTTAAACCAGAAGCAGGTCGCCGCAAACACGTACTCCGTCCCCCGCGAGCAGAGCTTTCTGGTCCTGAACATGTGGGGTGATGGTGGAGAGTGGAGTGGCGAGATGGATGTTGGCGATAGTGCTGAATTCCACATTCAGTGGATCGAGATGACGTTCAATACCAGTGGACCATATGAAGGAAAGAGCCAGGAGAACAAGAGGGATATCACCAATTTGTTCGGAAGAAAGAGAGCGGAGAAGGGATGCAAAACCGTGTGCAAGATCGATGACGTGAAAGAAGTCGGTACGCCTGAGGTTGATAGCGGGGCCATGGGAATGAGTGTTTCTTGGGGACTGTTGGCTGTGGTTGGTCTTGTGTCTGTTGTTGTCGGGATTTAGAGACTAGATGCGCATGAATGATTGTAATATACCCAAGTCTATATACACTGCTGCATACTTTGAAACAAGATGTTTAGGAGATACACCTGCATCGCGATGATATACTGTGTTACTTGGGTGCGTTGTGCCCACACTTTTGCACCAGCACGTCCAACAAAGCAATACCCAATTTTATCCCCAATCTATCCCGTAAACAAGTTTGCATCTTACAACCAATAATTAGGCGGGGATAAAGCTTTCCAATAGCCGTGGTCCATATTGTCTTGCATCTCCTCTGCAGTTTGGCGCGGTACCTCACATGTACTACTTTCAACGTAGTATATCGGACCATCTAAATGATCCACGTCTGATCTTCTGCAGTAAGCCAGTGGAGCTGGTTGTTCCTGGCAAGTTCTCTCGCGGTTATATTCGATGAGATGTTCGAGCCCATCGCCCGCATATTCTGGAACCGCTTAGCACCTCCAATTACCTATAAAACGATAGATAATCGTGACTTACCTGGAGTGGTGTACGCTATCCGTACAGTAAAGTCAACGGCGATGGGTTCTGCAAGCAACGACGCTTCGTCACGAATGCAGGTCAGAGTTCTGACGTGCTCGATGATGGCTCTCGGATTAGGACATTGATCCAACATTGAAAGATGCCAATGAATATGGATACTCTTCAGTTGGGAGAATTGCCCACTTCGAACAGCTTTGAACAGTCCCCTGCAGTACGGCAACAGGTTCATATACCATGGCGTGCCAGGTGCGTCAAGCCATAGCTGCTCGAGTGTGTTTGGAAGAGTGTCTGCTAGAGTTGATGATGTTTCCGTCGATAATGTACTCGGAGGATTTTGGCTGAGACCATCGTAGCCGAGAAGTAGATATGGCTTCGCACGTAGGAAAGTGAGCGAGCTGAAGAAGCTGCTCATTCGGAATGTACCTGGACTCGAATCGAAATTCCGCCAAATCACTCCTAGTGTATCCCCAAGTGACAAGCTGACGAGAGTGTTGGCATGTGGAATCAGTGCCGTTCTGACATCGTCATAGAACTCGTAATCGCGTGGTCGACGTTCGTACGGTGATACCACCTCAAAGTCGGTGATTGCCCTGCAAGCAACTATCATCTTCGCGGCGATGGAACCGCTGAAACGTGGAGATAACAACGATAGTCTGGCTATAGAAGAACTGCGAACTGGCCATTTCCAAGGGTCTCCCATGAATGCAGAGTCGTTGGTATCTGGCCCAACAGCCCACGGGCGTCCATGATCAGTCTCACCACAGTTACCAAGGGTTAGGTCGGTTAAGCTTGGAAGCAGAAACAAAGGTAGCGCCTTACGGACCGGCCACTCGATACCGCTCTGGTATGCATCGAGATGAAGGACTTTGAGCCTTTTGAACCCACCCGCGTTGGCACTATGGACGATGCTGTCAAGCAAGAAGCTTGAGCTGCCTTCGTCCAGTTGTGATTTGGGGAGCCGGAGCCAAAGCCGTTCCAAATTACATGCAGCGAGAACACACGGTGTGAGTAGTACATCTTCTCCGAGAATAGCACGCTCGAGAAGGTCGTGCTCAGAAGCATGTGCCTGACTGCTATTCATAGACGGGATGAGTTCGCCGAGCCACTCGTAGCCTTCTGGCGTGTATTCTGGTAAGTCGCTCACCCCTTTGTCAACATCACTTCCATCGCCATCCAGCATCTTCTGATGCCGTCTCTGATAGCGAATGCATTTTGCATCGTAAGTCGCACGTTCCTCGACCTCTTCGTCATCGAGCTCGTTCTCGGGTCGCAGGTTATGCCCCGCCCAAAAATCGCCTACCTCGAAACCGTCCTCCATCTTCAGTTTCAGATTCTTGATGTACCGGCACAGCTCCACGTTCTTCAGAAGAGTACGTGGTAGCTGACGAAAGGCCTCGTTGTTCATGTCGCCTGCCCGCTCAATGGATTCGTAGATGAGCGATCTTGCAACATCCCTGAAGCTTCGGCAGACGCGACACAATGCCAGTAGGTCTCGCGAAGGAGCGGGTACACGTGGCGCAGAGAAGCAAGTTATCGGCGTGTGCAGCAGACTGAAGATCTGGAGCAGCAGCTCGTTCGGAAACTCGTCCATGACTGGAAGACAAGACGAGAAACGTATTGCGCCTAAGATGGGGATTGTTGACCTTAAAAGTCGGGAGGGAAAATCAGGCAGCAGTATGAGTCAGAGGCGCTTACTGTACTCTCTTCTGCAGCCAAGAAGTCGCGTTCACGTAATGTCGCGTTTTCGGTTAGCTCGATTCTCACGCGCTGCTCGCCTGTCATGCCCTTACCGAGGATGCAGATGTTCTCTTACTCCCCAAACATCTGCGCCTTCTTGCTTGAGCTCCATCAACTTCGAGGCTATCCTCCAGCTCGGTGTTTTCCGGTCGACTTTCAAACGCATGCGGCAGCTACGTAGAAGCCACAACGACCAAAGAAGTTAACGAACAACGAGGCGTTTCCACATCCGGACGACTGAAGCGAAATGGGATTGCGTTCGCAATAGCTCGGCCACTTCTGTGATGTGCGCACATGGCCTCGCGCATAAGGCATGAGACGAGAACCTCATAGCGTGCATGTCGTTTGCGCGATGCTAAAAAGCGGCGTTCTCAGCTCGAGGCTGGAAAGCCTCCAGGGTCCATTTGGTGGCCGAGAAGGCGGGGTGCCCGAAAACGTGGAGGGTCACGCAGCGCTAGCAGATAAACAGTTACGACTTCGGCAATGTATGCAAGGGCGCAAGCGAAAGGGTATCTATGCGTAGAAAGTATGAGTCTGGAAGTCACGATGTGGACCTGTCAGATGGTGAGGATGCTGGCCCGTCCCGCCGCTGTCACCTGGGGTCTGGCCGATTAGGAAGTACCGAGAATTATCGCGTTCAGCTGTCAACGCGCAGTCTGCAAACCTAGTCTCTTTTCATCACTCTCTTGTCTGGACATGACCGAAACCTGCACAGCTGGCTGCGCGTTTACAGCGATGGCTTGTCGCGCTAGACTGCTTCACGGCAGCTTTTCAAGCGCTTCGAGTCCGACTTGGCCGGTGTTGATAATCTAGAGCAAGCCATGTGCAAAACACGCCATGATAGCAGGTAAAGTCGTGAACAGGCTGTCATGATAGGACTGGTTGTATGGATCTATTCCCAAGGCGGTGTCAAATCACCGCATGAGAGCTGAACCTGGGCAGTATAAAGACACCCATCAGTCATCCATCTTTTCATCGTCAGTCTACAGCAAGAACTTCCACAAGCATCTACTTCTCACTACACTCAAACAACATCCTTCCAACATGCCTTACCTCGTCCAGAAAGGAAACACAATCCACATCCCTGCCGAATTCCTCGGTGGCGAGAAGAGCAGCACGATCACTGTGAACTGGAGTCAGAGGCTATCATCTCGCCAGCAAGATTACTATGTCTGCAACTATAAGGTCAAATCTGGTGGTACGTGAATTGCTTCTTCTTCACGATGCCCTCAAGCTCACCAGCCATGCAAAGGCGAATCTGACGGCGTCATCTACGTCCAAACCGACAAGCTCGATGACTTGAAAGCGAAGAGGATAGACGGAGGAGACTACACCTTCAGGGTCGACGAGTCGTTCCAATACGGCCAGAATCAAGAACAGACCAAGCGGTTCCTTGTCTTTCACAACATGAACAATTGGCCCTACCAGGTTAGTCAAATGCGATCACATTACAAGGAGGATAGCAATGACTGACGGACTACAGCATCGTTTTGTTGAACCCACTATCACTACGCTTGGAGCAGAGGCCAAGAAGTTCACTGGACCACTCGGCCTCAGTGACAGTGACGACGGATGGAACCCTGCCGCTGACGTTGTTCAAGGTGTCGACATGGTCGCCAGGAACTTTATAGGGGATTACTTGCACAGCTACTAGGTAGTCAAAGGTTCAAAATTGTAGGAAGCTATAGATTTTGCATGCTTTTGGGGCTTGTGTAGATATCAACAACCAAATGATTGGATACGTTTTAAATACATGTTCACCTTGCTGCACGCTACAATAAGTAGTACTTTGAATGATATGTCGATGATTCTTCTAAGCTACTTATAGCATACGCCAATCTATATCATCGACGCCAATAGCCTACCCCGCAGTCCGTCACTCTCTATCTATTGCATGCCCACTTCTGACCTAAGTCATTTTACCGTCTTGCTAGCCAATTCATCGGTACCTGAGATCGCGCCGACAAGAACCGCTTTGCGATCCTCCAAAGTTTCCAGTGTTACGCAAGTAATAATCCCAGTTGATGTGCTCTGCTACAAGGCCAGGACCACACAGCAGTATCGATTCGTAACCTTCTTGCCGATAGACTTGCATTGACGTACCAACATCGTTCAATGCAGTCACCAATTCAACAAGGAACTTCTTCATACTGTACTTGTAATTCCGGGGGGCCCACACCTTCATGTCCATGTCAAGAAACAGGTTCAAGGTCGAAAGACCAAGAGACGTGGCAGTTGTAAGGATAAAATTGCGCGAAGGAGACACTGTGGAAGCCTCCTCTAGGTCATGTAGCAACCAACGCGGCATTCCTGTGATTTTGAGGGTCTTTAAACTCCCCGGGAAGAATTTTGTGGGATGAAGAAGATGCGCGGGTAGACTGGAGATGTTGCCACTGGCTGGTCGTATGGATTCGAAGCCGAGAACGAGCTCTTCCAAGTGTTCGAAACCTGTGAAGCTACCAAATGGGCGGTGTCTTGGATACCATTGTTGGATTTCCTCTCCGGTCCATTCGAAACTCTTAAGTGCTGGAAGAAACTGCTGCAATCGTTCGATCAATCGGCTGCGGTCGTACACGTTGCCCATTTCTTCCCGTAATCGGATATTTCCTAGCTTCAGGTGCTGTATACCATGCATTTCCGGTAATGCCAACATGCGATGAAGCTGATCCGGATGGAAACTGATGTGCCGTATCTCCAGGTTATGCAAGAATGCAATCCTTTTAGATCCTCTATATGACCATTGAAAGTCATGAGGGGAGTCAGGTATGTAAGAATCACTGATGCTGTTGACCTTCAGGGTCTCGATAGGTGCCAATATTGGTATAGAAGCTCCCTTTCCAAGGACTACATCTAGGCTCTTCAACTTCTTCAAAGGCCAGACTCCCAAGGACGCGCTTTTGGTGAGTCTTTGCCAACGTGCGGGACAGACGGCTTCGATGATTGCAGAACTCATATTCATCAGCCGAAGGTGTTCGAGGTTGGTTGCGAGACAGAGTATGAGGGCCAGCGAAGCATCTATAGTCCAAATCTCTCTGGACACATTGTAGTACCACGTCACGTCGAACAGAGGCTCTTTCAATGGGTACGCGAGTTCCTTGAGAGCATGTTGTACCTCCGATGACTTTTTGGAGAGGTCTTTGCTGACCTTCTCGATGGTACTGTTTGGGTCGTAATAACTAAGATAATGAAGGTCTGCTTCCCATCGCTCGTTAGCAATGTCGAAGGCGAAGCTCCGGATGTGCTGTGAGAGCTCTCTGCGGCTGATTAGAGTCAATAGAAGACGTGGTACGGAGAGGATGTTCGGACTGCGCACTTGGATGTACCTGTAAAGATATGGCTCCGCTATCTTGCGATAGTACTTGTTCGTAAGCGTTAGGTTGTGAAGGGCGTGATGCGGGAGGTATTGTATGATCATCTCGTCGATTTCAGTGGAAAGGTCCGAGAGCGACATCGTTGGATGGTGACTGCGGTTGAGAGGCGGCTGTTCGGAAATGTCGGAAGATGTGTTGACCGGGTTGTGCCTCCAGAGAGTGCGTTGTCTTTGTGTAGAACGTATGGAGAAATGTGTGTCTTTGCAGGTGAGGCCCGACCGGCGAGAGTTTAAATATTTTCGTCCTTTTAGGCACCAGCAGCAGCACATGACTGGGGTGAACTCTGGTTGAGATGTTGTCGAGGCGTCATCGGAACCGAAACTGGAGCACCAGTCGAACACGACTTCATGTCGATATGTGATACTGATTATATCGAGCTCGGGTGCGCGATTTCGCGTACCTGGACGGTCTGCCCTGTGCTCGCGTTACTGCCCAGGTGAGTAGGTAATGAGGGCGAGCACGTGTAGGAAGGCCCGTGCCCCTAATACAGCAGGTGCGTCCTTTCCAGTATCGCTCCTTCCACTAGCAGCGCGCATGTCCTTTCGCAAACTAATCTTGGCCAACTCTTCAAAGGTTTCCAACTCATCCTCATATACCGCCGGCGCGCAGCCGCGACAGTTCGCTCGTTCTCGCGACTCATCGCCGACAAGTCATCCACGACTTCCGAAGCCAATACTACACCATACAATCAGGCGCTCTCCGGTGAGAAATATCATCGATACAAGAAATCGTGAGCTCTCTCTTGCCCTTGCTCGCCCAACATGGACCGTCTCTCGACCGAGCTAGACGAAAAGATTGTCCAGCAACTGGTCGGAAAGGAAGCTTCTGCTCTTTCGATGACATCAAAGTACTATCGATCGCTTGCAGAACCACAGCTCTACCGAGAGCTCTCCTTCCCAACCAAGCAACGTATGGAATTGATGTTGTTATTCGAGACGCTTGTTGATCGTCAAGATCTCGCAAAGCACATTCATTCCTTCACTATCACATGGAACGGAGCGCAAGAGCTTACATCGGCTTTCGACGCTGTCTTCCTCCCCCGCTTCCGGAGTAAGATAGATGAGTACGAGCGAGTCATCAGGGAAGTTATTCCATCATCGTCAAGACGTCGAGCCACACGATGGCTTGATCAGATGTATCTAGGAGAGCCTACGATCGACGGACAGCTCGCGATGATTGCCTGTCTTGCCGAAAACATGGAGCATCTGATACTAGATCATGTCTACCTTTCAAGTCTTCAGATCACTTGGTTAGTCCTCGAAATGTCCTGGGGCGAAGTCAGTGGCGCCCCTCTGAGTGGCGGAGGACACAACGAAACTACCTGGAGGTTCAGCAAAGGCTCCGCCTAGCGTGTGAAGGGCCACATACACTATTTAGATGGAAGCGAGTGGTCTATGACGGGCGGACGTTTGGTACGATGTCGATAGATTGGAGAGACGTTTGAGACGGAGATGATGCATTTTGGACACGCTAGTCTTCCTACTATTCAATGCTGAAATGTGGCATTAGAACAGACATCTTGGTCGTAGCAAATACGATAGGACTAAGACATAGCTATAGAATGTGAATGGGTCATATAATGTCAGGAGTTTTGTTGACAAGATGGCTTCGAAAGGACGAAGCCATAGAGCGAGCCAAATGATTACGTCACGGCGCGGCGATCTCCGCCCGTGGACGCCTCGGCCATAGCGGGGTTAACTTTTGGGAGCCGAGCTGCGAACTGCCTAACACACGCGTCAACGTTAGCCATCATCCGCAACACCATGGAGGAATACAAGGCCAAGTACGCCATACACGAGGCCTGTCGGGAAGGTCAAAGTGCGTATCCCACCCTCAGCTACGAGATCAAGCCTAACAATCCCCAGCATCCCGAGTCGACTCCCTCCTCGCCGCGAACCCCAAGCTCGCAAACCTCCGCGACCCAGACGATCGCCTCCCAATACACTGGGCCGTGTCCTACAACCACCTCGCCATCGTTCAAACACTCGTACAAAGCAAGTCGTTCGATGCCGATGTCACAGACGGCTCAGGCTGGACGCCACTCATGATGGCATGCTCGCGGAAAGACGCAGAGCCAATAGTGGACTTGCTGCTCTCCAAGGACGCCGATGTGAACGCGAAGAACAACAACGGTCAGACCGCCCTACATTTCTGCGCATCGAAAGTGAACCTCGATATCGCACGCACATTGCTCGCACAGAAGCCGCCAGCGTCAGCACGGATAAAAGACAAGAGAGGTCAGCTTCCACTGCATCGTGCAGCGGCGGTGGGCAGCGTGCCGATGATGAAGGCGCTTTTGGATGCAAAGAGCCCCCTGAACGCGACGGACATGGATGGTATGACGGCGCTACACCATGCGATGAGCGAGGGGCACGGTGATGCAGCGCTACTCCTGCTCACCATGGGCGCGGAACACGACAAGAAGGACACCGATGGCCATGTACCGCTCGATCTCGCGCCAGATGCGAAGACTAGGAGCTTCATACTGCAGGCAGCTGAGCGGGAAGGCATAGAACTGCAGTAGGGACGATATATCTCACGACATGTAATGTTGCATTTACGGAGTCAATACGATACCCAGGGTCACGGCGCATTGCGGCTGTCATATCTATGAACACATTCACAATTGAGCTACTATCTGCGAATTGCTCTCATGCTTTATGCCATGCGGATCGCTGGCCGGTGGGGTGGCACGAGCTTGTGATGACTACTCCCGACCTCGACATGCCTTCCTCTCCTAGCCCCTCACGCCCCGCGTGTTCTGCACTTCGGACCTATTGCGCAATCGCATCCATCACCTGCATTAGCCCCCACGCTGCCATCGGCATACCATCAGCGGGGCCTGACCTAGCGCCTGTCCGCAGCGATCAGTCTACATTCCATGCCTCGAGTCCCAGCGTCTGCACACGCACGGATGCGAACAGGCAATCGCATCAGGCTTCGACTCAACTGTGAAGCACGCGACAAACTCTTGTCAGACGTCGCAATCGCAACTCCACGTTGTGACGTTACTTTGCTCCTGACGCGTGCTCATCCTGAGGATGATTCGCCATCATGGTGCTAATCGTCACCCATCATGGTCTTCACGGTTTGACTATATAGCTGGCGTGGGGACGATATACCGAGGCTGAATCCGCGCCGTTTACTCCCTCAAAGACGTATACAGAAAGTACAGTCTGGACTGCAGCTACCCCAGAAGTATAAGTCGCGACCGCATCGATCAACTCTAGGTTTCTTACCTCCTCTCCTCAGCACACAACACCATACAATCACTCTCTTATTCAGCACGTCATAACTTCATAGCTTAGCATGGCTACCTTCTCCGATCCATCGACGTACCTGAACTTTCTCATCTCTCCGCGCATACCTCCAGAGCTGGTCTTGAAGACAATCCAGCACCTGCCTTTCAACGATGGCTCGCTCATTACCACTATTCGGAGCGCACATCCTAGACTTCGTGCCATCTTCAGGAACTACGAAAGATCCATCACTGGCAGCTTCATGAAGAAAGAGCTCCGGCACGCGGAGACTGACTTCAAGTGTGAACACCATCGGCTCAACGTCGACTGGCTGGCCGATTGCGTTCACAACTACGATATTGTCGATGACGTTATGGACGCCCTCTGCTCTGAGCACAACTTTAACGCCGTTCTACAACACAACGTTCCCCTCGCAAATGCCGGACTACTGCTATTATACCGCCTGACATCAATCGGTCAGTCCACCCGCCAACCCCTCTCTAGCACAGCCTCAGCTAACCTCCCCCTCAGAAGACCACGCAGACCGCCTAACCTACATCAAATCCCTCCCCCGCGACCCCCTGGCCGCTATCTACCTCGTCCTCCACCACGCCACCCTCTCCGCCCGCTACCACGGCTCAGGCTGGATAAACCAACGCACCTACGGCCGCTTCATGGACGCAAACCAAGTCGAACTACGCAGCGAACTAGAATTCTGCTTCGCGGAAGCAGCGCTGTGTCTCGGTCCGGAGTTCATCTCAGACACACTCCTGCACCATGATACCTCGAATGCAGAGACCACTTTACTGAACTTCTACCATGCTCATGGCACGCATGATTGGGACTGGCCTTGTTGGGGGACGGCGAAGGGCGAGTTTGAACCGCCTAGGACGCAGGGGCCGCAGAGAGAGGAGGGGAGTGGGAGGAGTTTGTTTACGACGATGTTGGAGAGGTTGGCGGAGTGTATGGGGTGTGAATTGGGGGATGTTAGGCCGAGGGTTGAGCGGCAGCTTGAGAGTGCGGAGCATGAGTTGGCGTATTTGAGTTTAGCGGGGAAGGCAAGGTTGTTGGAGGGAAAGGATGTGGAGGATGTCGATGGTCGGTAGGATGGGGTGTTCGAGTCGTCTTTTGGATCGGACTGGACTTGAACGACATGTACGAATGGCATTCCTACCAGACCTTCTAGATTTTGGTTACTCCTCATGATGCAATACGTATGAACGACGTCCAACACCCTAAACCAACTCATTATAAACATCCGTCCTCCTCTTCAACGGCGAATCATTCCTCATACTCCTCACAAACTCAACATCAATCTCCGCACACGCAATCTCCCCTTCATCCTTCCAACTACCCCCCTCCCCCTCATCACCCCCCAGCTCCGCCACAATCTTCCCCCACGGATCCACAATCATACTATGCCCCCAACTCCGCCTCTTGCCCTCCTCATCATGCACACCCACCTGCGCCGCAGCGATAATATAACTCTGCGTCTCGATCGCACGGGCACGTATCAAAATCTCCCAATGTCCTGCTTTTCCCGTGGGCGTCGTGAAGGCGGCGGGGTAGAGCAGGACTTCTGCGCCGCGCGCACGAAGTGCGAGACCGGGTTCGGGGAAACGCAGGTCGAAGCAGATTTGCATGCCTAGTTTTCCTACTGGGCTGTCGAAGGGATCGCCGAGGTGGACGCCGCGTTCTACACCCGCGGATTCTTGCATCTGGGGCCCGTCTTTTACGTCCATGTCGAAGAGGTGGAGTTTTTGGTAGCGGTATTTTATTTCGCCCGAGGCGGTGATCCAGATTAATGTGTTTTTTACTTTCTGGCCGTCGGAGGTGGGCTCGTGGATGCCGACGGAGATGGGGAGGTTGTATTGTTTTGCGGAGGCGCAGAGGCCTTGGACGAACTCGGAGTCTTGGACGGATTTGCAGAGTTTGAGGCCGCCGGAGGTGGTTAGGTAGTCTGCTGCTTCGGGGAGGAAGAGGGCGGCTGCGCCGGCTTCGTGGGCTTTGCGGCAGAGGGATTGGGCTTGTTTGAGGTTGTCGGCCATGGAGGCCTGGGAGCGCATCTGTCCGACTGCCTGGGGCTTGTTAGTATGAGGGATTTATGGTCGGGTTTGTAGAAACAGTCCATATCGACTCGCGAGTACTCTCTTAAGCGGTGTGAAGATGTGGCGGGATGTTGGAGAACACGAGTTGTTCTAGATAAGAGCCAACATTGAACAAGATTTGGGATGATATATGGAAGGTACCCAAGTCAAGAGAATGGATTACAAAGCCTCAAATCTGTACATTGACGGTACTGGTTGGCAACGATGGGATGATGGACATTGAGAAACAGTTTAGATAGCAAGGAAACGAGAGATGACTGGGAACAACTTACTGCGAGAGGCATCTTGAAGGTATTGATTGGTTTGATTGTGTGTGTTGGAATATGTGGAAGGAATCAAGGTACCTCTGATCTATATGAAGGCAGCAAACAGAACTAAAGAAAGAATACTGCTGTCGTCAGAGACGGCAGGCGCGATGCCACTAGAGGCTAGTTCAATTGTAGCAGTCATCGTGAGATGCATGTTGCATCTGGGAACGCATGCCAAAAAAGCATATGGCATGTAGACGACATCGAAAAGTGAAGATATCCATACGCCGATCGTCATGCGGAAGTCATGGCCGGGACCCAAGTCCCCTGCATTAAGGCTTGGTGGTGGGAATTGCGTCAGGGCAGAGAGCGGAGTTGCGGAACATTTGGTCGGCCAATCGGCGCGCGCCTGGCATGCTGCAACCGCGCCCGTCATCTCGAGGGCTTGCGCGGCAGGAACCTTGGGAGCAAGAGGACACGCATGCGATTGGGGCCGCCTTCCGATGATACGAGCTGATCTAGCTGCGACAATATTCACCCTACGACATTCACCCTGCGCTCATTGCTGTGACACCCCGCGAACCCTACTGATCGCGTACGACGTCCAACAGACCAGCCTGGCCTCCCGCGCAATTGAGCTATGAACAGACACAGGCGCCGAACGAGTGCACGCTGAACGCTAGCGAAGCATCGTAGACGACGGATCGCCCCAGGACACATACAGCTGTAGAGGCAAGATGAGTGGGAAGAACTGGTGGAACAGCGCGATCTCGGGCCTCGAGTCGCGCCTTGACGGTATCCTGGCTGAAGATGGCACCACCACCACCAAGCCGGCGGGCACAGAGGCAGGCGCCAAATCAGACGCGACAGAAAAGGCAGCGACGGACAAGAAGCTTGCGGTCGAACCAGGTGGGTGGCCTTGGAGACACTTGCTGTTACCAGCTTTCAGAGGGCTAACGACACAGGCATCTCGCGCACCTCGTCACGAAGCCGACCCAATTCTCGACTACAAGACCGCCTAGCCAAGGCCGTGAACAAGGGCTCCGAAGCAAGAACCTCGTCGGACCTTGGATCGAGACCCGCGAGTCCAGCCGTGAATGCTGTCACCGCATCGCCAAGAGCCAGCATAGACTCGAAAGCGCCCGAGCCAGCGACGGAGGCGGTAGCTGTGAAAGAGGAAACCACAACGGCGAAGGAAGATGAGGCGCCCAAGCCGGATGAAAGCAAGGTCGAGGAACCTCCACAACCCGCCTCAGAGGCACCTGCGTCCATAGTCTCTCCTCCAGCGACTTCACCACCGCCTACACCTCTAGTAGCCGAGCAACCGACCTCGACGCCCGTTCCCACCATGTCCATGCCCTCGATACCCTCCATCGTCACCCCGCAAACCTCGTCTCCCCGCCAGTCCTTCGACAGCGACCCGTCGCGACCTTCCATCGACGTACTCCCCCCAACGCTGTCTACCGAGACGAAAGACCCCGAAGAAGTGCAGGCTGAGCTATCATTGCTGCAGAAGACATACGAGGAGTCGCTACGGGATAATCGCGAGGAGCTCAACTCTCACCTCGAGCGAATCGATGCTTTACAGTCGAAGCTCACATACCTCTCCGAGCAGCTTGCTGCCTCTGCAAAGGCTGCCAAGTCCGACTCGGAAGCGACCCCGGCGGACAAGAAGCTGGCGGACAAGGATGCACAGATAGCGGCGCTCATGGAAGAGGGGCAGAAACTCTCAAAGACGGAGATGAAGCATCTAACGACTATCAAGAAGATGCGCACAAAGGCCTTGGAGCAGGACAAGGAGATTGTGACACTCAAGCAGCGGCTGACAAAAGCGGAAAAGAGCATCACTGAGCAGTCGGAAAGGGCACGGCGCGCAGAGGCGGCGGAGAAGTCTGCGCAAGAAAAGCTGAAGATTGTGGGTAGAATTGAGAAGGACATTGAGACTATCAGAGCAGAGCGCGAGGAGGCTGGACTTACCATATCTGAGCTGCGGAAGCAGCTCAACGATGCACTTTCACGGGCCGAAGATGCTGAGAAGAGAGCCCAATCTGGGGCGCTGGAGGCCGAGAAGAGGGCCACTGCGTCGCTCAAGGAAGACATCGAGAACGTCCGGATAGAGAAGAAGCTTGCCGAAGATCGCGCGAAGAGGGAGCTTCAGGCTGCCAGAGACGAAGCGAAGAGCCAGCAGGAGAAAGCAAAGGTCGCCGAGCTTGAGTTGCGCGGCGAGATTGCTGTGAGTTTTGATGATCTTTTGGAGAAACACGTATACTGACAGAATTCTAGAACCTGGAATCTAAACTGGAATTGCTTCGCAGCCGCACAGAAGAGGCGTCTTCATCTGCGACTGGCGACTCACAAGCCAAGCTCCTGCGACAGATTGAGACGCTGCAGACCCAGTACTCGCTGGCTTCCGAGAACTGGCAGGGTATCGAGACCACTTTGACGTCTCGTATGGCAGCTCTTGAGAAAGACCGTGATGAGACAGCAAAGCGCGAGTCTGATGTCCGACGAAAAGCAAGAGAAGTCAACTCGAAAGCACGCCGACTGGAAGACGAGCTGGAGAGCATCAACGAACGAGCCAGGACGTTCGAACACGACCTGACTGAGCAGCGTGCCGCAGCTCAGAAGCTACAAACTAGGCTCACACAAGCAGAAACTGCAGCACAAGATGCGCGAGTCGAACTTGAACGCGAGAAGAAGGTGTGGGAAGTCGAGTTGCAACAACGAATAGAGGAGGAGAAAAACAAGTGGAAGGTAGAGATACAGACGCCATCTCTACTAGGCGATTCACATCATCTACGGACAGACTCCCCTTCAATAGCACAACGCCGGCATTCGCCCGACCCACTAGGCATATACAGCCGGCGACCCAACCCACGCTCCATCTCCAGCGGCATGGACATGCCCATGATGTCCCCCATGGACCGCATGTTCGACGAAGCCTCGCGCCGCCCCTCTTCCTCCCGCCACAACAAATCCAGCAACGCCACCAAAGTGCGCACCCCCGAACTCGGTACCCCCCAACGACAAGACTCCATTCCATCAAGCATGTCCAACCTCAATGGCGGCCTGGAAACACCGTCAATCCACACCATCGACCACGACAACGACCCCTTTGAAAACACATCCTCCCCCCACCGCACCATAAACGACATGATCAGCGTCTCAACCGCCGGCGCCGGCCCCTCCGTCCAACTCGTCGAGCGCATGAGCGCCGCAGTCCGGCGTCTGGAATCCGAAAAAGCGACTCACAAAGAGGAACTTGCCCGCTTAACTGCCCAGCGCGACGAAGCGCGTGAAGAAGTTGTTAAGCTCATGCGTGAGGTTGATGAGACGAGGAAACAGGGGGAGAAGGTGGGGGATTTGGAAAAAAGGCTGGGCGAGATGGAGAATAGGGAGATGACGGCGTTGGAGATGCTGGGGGAGAAGACTGAGAGGGTTGAGGAGTTGGAGGGCGATGTGAGGGATTTGAAGAAGATTTATAGGGAGTTGGTTGATACGTTGAAGTGAGGGGGTGGTGTAGCCGTGGGGTCGGGAATCGAGATGCTACCTTTCCTCCGTTTGGGTGTCACGAAACCGTGGTTCAAAGTGTTATTTGCTGACCAATGACGTCGCTTACCTCCCCGTAGTGTGCACAACCATGGGTCGCAAACAGTGACTCATGTCGTCGAACTGGCCGCCTATATCTATACGCGCCCCTCAAACCACGAATCTTCGTTCTAAATCACAACTAAACCTTGATGACACACCGAGTAACAATTTCCCCATCCGTGTGACCCGTTACGCCTTTGCGACTGCCAACATCATGAACACGACCAACATAGCACCTGTCGTTTGGATCAACGGCTTTCCAGGCTGCGGAAAGCTTACCATCGCCTCCGTCATGAAGACCCTCCATACCGACATGATCCTCCTGGACAACCACCAGCTGATCGACCCCGTGGAAGCAAAGTTCCAACGAAGTCACCCCGATTACCAGAAAGAACGCCATCGGTATCGGCAACACATCTTCAGGGAATACGTGAGTAACCCTGCTACGTTATCGCAAGTCGTTGTTTTCACCGGTAAGAATCCTATGTACCCTTCGCTATTAACACTTTGCTGATTGTTGTTATTTTTATGATGAAGATTACCAGTCCGACAACGCACTAGGGCAAAAGGTTGCGGAAGAGTATCGGGAAGCAGCGAGACAGGCTGGACGTCCGTTCAAGCCTGTCTATATTCTTTGCGATGTCGAGGAAAACATCAGGCGAGTTGCTGCTGCTGGACGCGTTGACGGTGGTACGAAGAAGCTCACTGATCCTGAGCGTCTGAGGGGGTTCAGAGAGAGATGCGACATCTTTCGATTTGATGGCTGTGATGGGTTAAGCCTCGACACGACTGATAGTACGCCTGAAGAAGTTGCTAGGGAGATACTGAGGTTTTTGGAGGAAAGATGACGTCTAGTTGCTACTCAAATTGGCGGGTGGTGCTACTTCGCTCAGCTGGGAGGTGTGACCTGGTGTTTGGCTTACTGAGATGGATCACCTGAGCGTACCCTTCTATCAAGCGTTCGTGGACAAGACATGCGCAAAAGCGCGTTGCGCAGACCTTTTACTTGGAAACGGAGAGGGGTTCTCGGTCTTGGTGAACGTCACACAACCAATGAACAAGTGCGGGCTGCGCTCGAGAAGCATGAAGTTGATCTGGAGGGCTATGCTTGGTACACTGAGCTTCGAGAGCACAAACCGATACTAACAACGGGCTGGGGTATGGGTATCGAGCGCTTTCTGGCTTGGGCGTTTCGCCATGACGATATCCGGGATATGACGATTGTGCCGAGGATGAAAGGGTTTAGGTTTGCTCCTTGAGTTCGTCGTCGCTCAAGCCGTTGCTTCAAACCCTAGACTGCGAATCTGTCTCGCGAAGGTGTCTCTTTATCTAGAAACGCGCTAAAATATCGCTATTGCTTGCAACACGTCTTCTTGCGGCATGACTGCTTCTGCATTGAAGACCAGTTTCCTACAAGGAGGGTCATCATTTCTTTGCCTAGGTAGTACATCACGATTCAAGCTTCAACGAAGCTAGCTGCTATAATCTAGACCTCGAGCTATATTTACTTCTTCTTTGCCTTCGCCGCCGCTACAGCATAAGCTCCAAAAGCTTCTGATTTCCTCATCTCGAAGTACACATACAAGCCAAACCACAATACCGCAGCTACAGCTCCACAAACCAGCAAGCAGCAAATTCCAAGGAGCAGATACTTGCATATTTGTAATCCTACCGGTGACGTGAGCACACAGATCAAGATCTGGGACAGCGCTGGCCACAGCACGACGACGCGGAAGTATATACGTAGCGGTAGCCACGTACTGCCGGCGATAGCCAAGTGAAGAGGATTGAGACTAGAGATGAGGCTCTTAGCTCCACTAGTGTAGTAGCGATCTTTTCTAAACTCTTCCCTGAAGAACACAGGAGTCACCGCGCGCATATGGCACGCGATTGGCGTCTCATCCTTGTCTTTCGACGACTCGAAATTGACACGCACCATCTCCATTGTGATCTTGGCTTTCAGGCCCCGCAGCATGCGACCGGCCATCTCTGGCGTCACATCCTCTGGACTTGCGTTCTGGAGCAGAGCTTCGAAGACGGTCCGCTTGTTTGAGTCGCGGACGTTCATACAATTGTCGTAAGTGCGAACGTTGGAGTTGTCGACCAGTGTCCTCAATTTCTTAAAGAACTCTATCTTGTCCGCGAGTAGTACGGGCATTGCGGCAATGTAGTGAAAGATGGTGGTCCATTCAGTCCATTTTTCGGGGTGTTCGGACATGGCGTGGACAATAAGATCGGGTCCAGAAGGGCAGGGAACGCGGGAATCGAAACCTGAGTCGTCAAAGAAATGCGCGAGCGTCCACATGTATTCGAAGTGTAAAGCCCCATTTTCTTGAACGTGTCCGAAGAAAAGGCTTTCCAACGCTGTCTTGGATATCTGCGGCGACTCGTCAAAGACCCAGCCTGGGTTCGCTCCTGCGCACAGAAGGATGTCAGCCATGGTAGGGTTCGGATACTTGCCTGGGGACCAGCCTGCATAGTGTAGCAGCGGACGACCGGGCTTTTTAATGAGATCAGGTTGTCTTCTCAGCGCTTCCGAGACAAAAGCGCACATGTTGTTGCTCACCGCGAATGCCAGGAACGTAGTTTTCCAGGCTGGAGGGTGGTTCAGGCGTGGACCCGGCCAGTAAGCCTTCCCTTCGGTCGACTTTGATAAGCATCGATCAAGAACGTGGATAAGGTCGTAGGATTTCGTTCCTTCCAAAGAGTCCAGCTCGGGGGCGTACCTCATCATGATCTCTGCTGGTTCCAGGGTCCATCTAGACTCCTCTCGCAGGGCGTCGCTCAGCTGAACATAGGCGAGTGCGATTGAGATATGGTACATAGCGCCAGCTACCATGAATCCCTCCTGTGGTTGGGGAAATTTATCGTTCATCCTCGAAATCAGATTTGTGTCAGATGTCGTCAGGAATTCCCTCACTGTCTGATGGAGGAACTGAACAGTCCAGACCGTGGCGTCTGGCATGAGCATTGAGTTCTGCACACACCAATGAAACGCATCGATGCAAGCCTCAGGATTGGTTAAGCTGACAGTCTCGTCATGCACACCTGACACTATTCCTGCGAGCAGTTCATCTCTTGAAGCGATCCTGGCCTTTTCGTGTGCATAATCATCTTCTCCGGGCTCGGTCGAAGGTTTGGCAACAATCGATCTCCTGATTGCTTCCCACGTTTCCAAGGCTTCCTTGTATCCTTCTGGCATAACGACCTGCACCAATCCTCCCGTTGCGTCTCTTATGCGCTGCTCCAATCTAGGGCCACTTCTACTCATATCCAATATCGGACGGGGCTCAATTGCATAACCGTCTTCGGTAAAGGTTTGATATGGAATCACCTCGAGAAGGACACCGATATCCATTACACTCACCGGTTTATCCGCCGCCAGGAGCGTCCTGAAGATGGCGTCCGTCTCTCCGCGAGTCTCTACCGGTATATTGTCGAGTGTGGACAAGTAGAGTTCAGCCATTTGTGTGTTTGTCTGATCCAGGTTCAATAGTCGCGCTCGTACGTTCCCCAAGTATTCGCTTCGTGATAGGCTGACATGCACGCTGTCGACGACCAGGCGAACCCAAAGAAACACGCCCATTGCCTGATCAACAATGAACCTGCAGATCTCCTGCAGCTGATCGCAGAATTCCGAATCTCCAGCCATGTCTCGTGCGCGCCGGTGGGATTCCAATCGGCTATGGACATAATAGTATATGTCCCCTTTGGTCCAATCCTGCACCCGCAAGCCAGGTCGGCCCTTCAGTCGTACATCGAACGCGCTCTCCGGACGGCTACTGGCGCATACCTTGAAGGTACCAAATCCTTGGTCGGCCTCACCTGATACCAGGAACTCCAAGAAGTCGGCCATATATTCCCAATTCTTCTCATCGTTGTCACTCTCGTCCAAGGCGTCTATGAAAAGACACATGCGAAACTTGACTATTTTCTGCGACTTGCATAGAAGCAGAATCCTCTCAAGCTCTTCTAGAGAGAAGGAGCTTTGTTGGTCATGGAGAGCGATCAACGGTTCGATGATGGAATGAAGGGCGGGGTGGAAAGATAAGAGTTTGTACACGATTGCACCGACGACTGCTTTCCAGGATCTGTTCTCTTGCTCAATCTCGCGCGTTAAGAAAACTGCTGCATGAGACCAATCGAATGTCTCTAGGGTTCTGGCGACGTCGCCCGACTCGCAAAGGTACTTCATCACAGTAGATTTCCCGGAGCCTGGCACACCCTGGATCCAAAATATGCCTTCTTCAACGGCAAGCCAATTCATTAGGCCGGGTCCTTGCTGATCCGCTTGTAGGAGCCACGAGAGCGTGCGATCATGAGCTTCGTTAATCTGGTTGGTTTTCAACGTCAAGGCATCGGAAAAGTGTTTGAACAAAGACTCATTTCCTATCGTGAATTCATTAGACAGCGTGCCCAAAATCGAAGGCTTGAGCCTCCCGCCAGAGAATCACGTACTTTCCCGCAGTGCTCCGTACACCCTGTTCATATGCTTGCTTATCTGGGGTCTCACCACTTGCTCATAATCAACCCGAGTCGGACCCGTCCTACTGAACTTGCACATGTTCATGTGATTGGCGGTAATGGGCAGGCGCCGTTCTTTTGCGTGTCCAATTTCTGAAGAGTCCGGGTCTACAATCTATAATGGGGGTAGCGTCAGGTTTTCAGGCTTTTCCAAAAGTTCTTTGCCGGGTTTCATACCTTTTCATCGAAGCCGTTGAAGCCTTTGTACCCTAATGATTCCTGGTAAGACGTAACATAGAGCATTTTCTGTTTGTCCAGCTTTTTTCTGAAGTCATCTCTTAGTATTTGCAGCATTGCGTCATTCGGCGTGAGCAAATCGAGGTTGATGTTACTCGTCGAGAAGCCGATCGCTTTGGCAAAACGGGAGATGATCTTGCCCGTGCTGACCCAAAGACTCCCGCGATGAGGGGTACCGAAGAACAAGACGCCCGCCGTTGATGCTAGTATGTCTTTCAGGTCTTCATCTTCATCCTCAGCTTCGGCAGATAGCCTCAAGGCCTATTTTGAGTAAATGTCAATTGACCGAACACTATTAGGCGATGATGAGACCCAAAGAAGACTTACCGATTTGACGACTAAACCACCAAGAGAGTGCGCAATGAAAATGATGCGACGACCTCGCACTTTCTCACGCTGAGGAGCAAGCCGTTCGAGCAGGTCTCGTCCACGGTCGAGGATGTTGTCGCGATTAGCTGGGCCAGAGAAAAAGTGGCTAACGGAGGAATCATAGCCATAGGTGAAAACGCGCGCTTTGGGGAAATCCTCGAGCAAGAAGTCTCGCGGCCAAAAGGTGTTTGACGGTGGAGGAGTTCCGGGCAATTCAGCTGCGGGTTCCGTTGCAGCTGCTTTTGCGGACCGTCGGAAAAAGGAACCCTTTGAAGGTGGTTTGGTAGATGCTTGGTTGTTTGTACCCTCCGAGAACGTCCACGTGCTCTCCGGGTGACCTTGGAGGCCATGTACAAAAACAATGTCAAATTCTCGAACCGCGTCGCCTTGAGTGAGCTCGGTCAGGCCATAGATGGATATTGTCGCGGGTACTGGACTGTTCGCTGTAGGAGTGGTAGTTTCCGCCATGTCGCCAGCCCATCTATGGCACACTTCTAAAGAGTGATCTCTGAGTAGGCGTGTAATGAAAGGATGAGTCTTCTAGTAAGGCGTGGAGAATGAAGTGGGTGAGCAATGACGGGCTATAAGCATATCCCTCCATGAAGGTTTCCGTATGCTAGCCAAGTTCGGGTGCGGCTGAAGTCTTTAGTTGGAGAGGCTGGATTCAGCCACGAAACACTCTAGCAATACTACAACCTCTCAAATCGCAGCTGAATAGATAGTCTGGACGCCAGAGGCGCAATCGACTGCAGCCTTCAACCTCGTGAGCGCCACGACATGATACGCTTATTGCGCTTGCAAACTGAAGCGGGAGTCTTTGGTCTGCTAATTGTATGTTCGTGGGTTGAAAGTTGCAGTAATACATACTACGAGCAGGCGCTATGTATGGTCGAAATGCGACGATGAATTTGATTATAGGGCGCAATGCCAAAGATGAAGGGTGCGATTGATGTTGAGGAAGATGTAGGAGAGGGGCAATATCACCGGAGCAGGAAAGTAGCGGCTCAGGTGGGCCGTCCCGGCCTGGGCTGTTGTGATTGGGTCGGAGATGCAGGCAGCTCCCCCACTTTCAATTGGGCGTCCGAGCCAGTATGTCTTCCACATCATCAAAGCTACCTAGGTTTGTCAATCATACCATATACCGAAGCACACACCTGGTAGAGGGCTGTTACCTGTTCGAGACTTGATTTTTTTGGGATCTGAGATACCCCATAACGCTGTTAACAACAAAACATACCGAAGCACAATATCAATGACCAGCCCGAATCAGGACCAGACCGCAGTCTGAGTCAAAAGCGCGCCTTATGCTTCCTGTGTTTTGCACATACGATCTTAAGTATTTCTCTTTCATAGAGCCCTTTTCAGCATTCCAGTCTTGCAGGCTTCTGGGGGCTGCTGCTATCGAACATCGACGATCCGATGGAAACGCGCATAGGTCTCTTGGACGCTTTCAGAAAATCCCTCACAAGACCAACGAGTGCCAAGTCGGTACCTACAACAGCATTAGCCGACCTTACTTGCTCCTGACGCATGCGAAGAGAGAAGACTCACCAGGATTTCCTACTACCGATATTGCAATTGGAAGCTTCTCCTCGCGCCCGCTCACCCGAGATGCGTACGGGAATTCTGCAACTGAATGAGCTCATCAGCCCAGTCTCTTCTACTACAGGGCATACAACCTACTTGGAACGACAATTTCGGGAGCCTCGATAGTGGGCGAGATATACAGCGTATCGGAGGCGTTCTGCTTACCGGGCGGCTCTGTCTTCCGATCTCTGTAGTTTGGTGCGACCTCTGAGACTGGTAAAGTCATCAAGGTTTCGTATCTGTCCGCCTGAAACACTTCAGAGAGTAGCCAGTCTCTGTACGTATCGAGGCGGGCCACAGCATCCTCGTGCTCTTCTTTCGTCACTAATTTGGCGACATCCCTAGCGCGAAGTTAGATCACGTCAATATCCGAGACGACGGCTCGCACCATCTCCACTGTGTGTATTCATTGGCGTAAGGTTCCTTCTGGAACTCGCGCCTGTACGTTTCACGGAAATTGTCGAAGCTGTGATAGAAGTCATACAAAAAGGTTCTAGTGGAGACCTAGGGCACGTCAGCATCGCTATCGCGATGATTCAATGAAGCCAGACCTCGCTCAAGTAGCCATCTAGTGAATCACCATCCGCGGTTTTTGGGTGCGACCTTTCCCATTCCAGTGATAAGTCAATCTCCGTGATTGGCGCTTGCAAATAGTCGCTGAAATCCTGGACGAAGCTCTTCACGTGCTGCATCTGTACTTCGTTGTTGACGGGGAAGAAGTTCACTGGATACAGGAGTCTTTTCGGCAGCTAATCATGATCAGAAACAGCCGACGATATGATTGCAAACCGCCCGGATTGAACTCACATCAGCCTTCACTTTTGCGATGTCGCAATTGTCGAGCCATACTTGGAGTATGGTATCCAGCTTGTTGATATCGCGAGTGAAGATACATTGCGTGTCGAAGCGACTGACAATCAGTGAACCCTTCGCAGCAATCACGCAATGGTATGAACTTACTCGAAAGTAGGCACCATTCCTTCGAGTGGCAGACGTTCTTTAGAAAGGCGCAGTGCAAACACGCCGTTCACAAATGCTGGGCGACGCCCGCTTCCTGTAGCTACTATGCTTTAGGGTCGACTCTTCCGCTGAGACTTTGACTTACTGTCAGATCCAAGGGTGAAGTCCAACCACGCGTAAGACGCAAGGCCCGCTGCGCTTCCGCTGCTACTGCCAGCCGGTGATTGGTAGCCGTCTCCGCGGGGGTTGAACGGTGCTGGGTAGTCAATGGCTTCAGTCGGCTCTTCACGTCCAATGAAGGAACTCAACTTCAGCATCCCGACTAGAGTACAACCTTCGCTCAACAATCTCGTGATGCATGGAGCGGTCACTTCCGCTCGTTTCGAGACCGCATAGTACGGTCGGCTGCAGAGTGAAGTTTTCAAGCCAGCGACGGAGTACATGTCTTTTACTGCGAACCTCATGCCGCTCAGTCGCAAGCCCGGTCCTTGCTCAGTTAGATTGAGTGCACTCGCTCGTGACGGTATGGCAACGCTAAGCGTCTGATATCGGTCGCTGCACAGCCGCAAATTCTCAAATCTGCTTGTTACGACGTTAGTACATCATCTTCTAGAATGCGGAGCAGATTTCACTTTTCTTCTTCACCTGGACGAATAGCAGCCACAAAAGCACCATTGGTATCATCGCACAGTCTAGCCACCTTCCAGAGGTCGTTACCATGCAGCAAGTGAGGACCAGTTTCAATGTCGCAGCCACTCTGCAAGGTCGCAAGCGTGAGAGTCTGCACCCCTCGAGCGTTCAGCGCGACCGCGACCTCGACGTCCAGTTTCAGACTCGAGCGGCCGTGAGATGCGACCACAACATGTTGCAGAAAGCTTGAGCTGGTCACATCGTCTTTGGCCTGGACCTTTTCTAATTGCTGTATGATCTGCGTGTAATCCGGAGGCTGTGACGCTGGGATCTTCAAGAGAAAGCAGGGCTGTAATTGCGCATCCTTTGGAGGCGGTGCATGCTCGAAAGTCAATCGCCAATGTTTCTGGGACCAAATGGTGTACGATGTCGTGTCGAACGTCAGATTGGTACTGATGGGACGGAGCTTTTGCGTTTGAGCTGTGTGTAGGAGAGCCTCCCAAACTTGGAAGTCCATGCTGGTAGCGCGCGCTTTCGATGCTGATGCACCCATTGTGTGTTTCGCATGTAGGCAGGTAATACCTTGGTTGGAGATGGTAAGAGAGGGTTTGTTGGGCGTAGGTGGGCTGTATAATAACCCAATTGCCCAAGTCACGGATCCGCTTCACCCACGTAACAGGCAGGTCCCGTCATCAGCCGTGCGTCAAATTCTACGAAAAAGTTTCTATGTCCTTGAGCAATTCCAAGGGAGAGTAGAGTCGTGAGTGCCAGACAATCATGTTTGCTATCAAATACTACATAGCAAACACATATCACACGGTCCGCCCCACACGCCAACACACGTCACTCACCAACTTATCCCTCGGCCACGGCTTTGTTTCTATTGAACGAGATTTTTCTCTCTGTTCTTTCGTCAGGGAGAATAGGCATGCGAAACGTATTTATACCATTCGTCCTACCAACAAGATGTCATCAACGCGATATCGTACAAGCCGCCTATTTCGAGGCAAAACAACCGTATACATTCCTTTCATTCATTCGTCGCCCAGGGGTATTCAATTCTCCACTTCTCATCGCATCGTAGGAATGCATATACACAGTAGCCCACATCGTTGATCTCCTGCGGCCCATAAACGCACAACACCAGTATAGCGTCTTCTACAAGAAGTATTCTCCGCGACCTCCACGACCCGCGGGGACGGCGCGCTTATGATCTGGAACGGCAGAGAAGATTTGAAACTCGGGCTTGAGGTCCTCGCCTAGGTTCATGATGGAGGCGACGTTTCCGCAGCGGTAGCAGTAGTTGGGTGCGGACCAAACGGTGACAACGTCTTTGTCTTTGAAGTGGTATTTGTAGCCTTCGTTGACTAATTGATGGGCGCGTGCGATGAGTTGGAGACCGTTTACGTGGTTGAACTGCAACAGTCAGCGATGGGGTAATGGGGGAAGGAAGATGAATGCATACCTCTGAAGACACCTTGTCTCCAAAAAGCCAGCCGGCTCCTCGGGGTGAGACAGCCCACGTGTCGACATCTTCCGGATCACTCCATACGAGATCACAGAAGGCTCCCTCGTGAGGGATTTCTTGGGCTCGCGCAACAACGCGGATCTGGTCTAGTGTTCTGATTTCCGGACTTAGACCGCCGTGTACGCAGAGCACCTTTCCGTCGACGATAGCGGCTAGGGCAAGGAAATCGAAGACTTGGCAGCAGGCCTTCCATACCGAAGCGTTGCCGTATTTGGTCTGACATTCCTCGTAGAAACCGTAGACTTGGGTGATTTGTCTCGACTCGTGGTTTCCGCGGACGAGAGTGACGCGGTCAGGGAATCTATTTCAATTAGTACCGTTAATGTAGTTCTGTGTGCCAGTTGACCTACTTCGCCTTCAAGCACATGAGAAGGGTAAAGGTCTCGAGACTGAAGTATCCTCGGTCGACAAAGTCACCCAAGAAGATGAAGTTCTGCTGGCCGTTTCCACCCACTGTGTTCTTGGTAGAGTCTGCGTCGGATGCCGAACCAAGACTCCGCCTGTCGTGAACGCTCCTGCTTCGACCGCGTTCCTCCTCCTCTTCGTCGTCGCCCTCTTCATCGCCATCGCCGCCAGGAGGACTTGTTGGCCCAGTGTAGTTTGGGTCGCGCTGGAATCTTCTCTTCATCTTGCGCTTGACCTTGGGGTCTGTTATGCTGGTAGGAGGCTCGAGATCAGCGGGGTTGATTGTGCTTGGTAATGTGACTGGTGGTGCGAGGGGCGCGGCAGGAGAGTCGTTGGGCATGCCGCCAGCGACACGGAA